GCAGTTGTCTATGTCTATCAGTACCAAATTTTGTGCAGCGTTCTGTTAGCAACCTTCTTTGACAGAACGCTTTTCTTCAGATACTTGGGTATTGTCTCAGCTTTCAAACATTACAATGGATGTGTATGATGACGAAAATCTTGAATTGGTAAGCATTCGTTATGTTGTTGATAATCTTCAATTTTCAAGCAAAAAATTATTTCAGTACAAAGAAAATCTGCAAGAATGCGAATGTCGTCTTCGTTCGCTCGACAAGAAATTCGACGAACTTAGCGCATCCGACAGGAAAGCGGAACTGGAAGCGATATTTGTATGTTTTAAGCTTTCTGGAATCTTTTTGAAAGTTTTAAGTTTCCCTTAGAGCTTTGCATTGGGGAAAAGGCTAATCTGCTCGATCGTCTTCGCACCGATCCATTTGTAGTTAAGCAAAAAGGGTAGCAGACATTCAGAAAGCTGATTTTTTGATTTTCAAGGCTCTTCATAAATCCATACGCTTCGGTAGTTTACTGTTACCTGAGGTGAAAACGTGGACAACCAACAACAATACACTGAACAAATTGCTGAGCAGATGTTATGCTGAAGAAGAGGGTAAAATTAGTCATTATGATTTTATTTGTTTCAAATCATTTGTTTTCACCATTAATTTAGCGCTTCTCAATGATGCTAACAAGTCGAATACTGGCAACTCAAATGTGGCTAAAGAAGCGGACGTCAACAATAATTCTGTGGAACAGGAAGCGGAAGACAACCGTAGTGCTGTGGACAACGGAGAAGCGGCCGAAAACCATAAAACTGTGGACAACGAGAAACGCTCAGCCGGTGATGGTGGTATCACACCGGTTAGTCACTAAGTTATAGAGTTGTTTCAAGAGAGGCGCACGATCCCGGAGGTGGTGGGGGGAGAGAGAGTAGGAAGAGTGTGTTCTACAAAATCATGATGCATCGAAAGCCTAGAAACACAGGAGATAGTTTCTGGCCTGCCCTATCATAGCAGTTTACACTCACGTAAATTAGGCTACAGTGGTTTATATTCGAGCTGCTCGAGCTGAAAATGTGATTTGAAATCCCACGTTTCATGGATAGGTATCTTTACTTTTCTTCATTTTCTAAAAAACGAGCATTCGAGGAAATGAAAAGAAGAAAACACTTAAAAAAGGAAATGTCACACAACTACTTCGGAAAAGAAGCAGCAATTATTTGGAAACCCGGTTTTTACCGTATATGCTTCAAATTCAATAATTTGCTACGTAATTGCGGTCTGCTGCTGTCTGATTGGTGCAACGCCAAGCGGTACGGTATGTCGGACGACACCTCGCCAATGCTTGCGTCCTCTTCTATGTCGATTCACCGAGCGATTTCTCCACGTTTTCCGTCAGTCTTCCTGTTAACAGCTCCCTCTATCAACGCCCAAAAGGCTGTAACAATCTTTTCAAGTACAATCTTCTTGGGAACTAGGCATTCGCACAACGTCTCACCTGCTTTGTCACAGAGCTTTGTTACAGTAGAACCGCCTTATTTGGTTGACGTGCCGAACAAATCGTCGTTACCAGGTCCCAGAAAGTCTTTGAGGTTCTTCATTTGTGGCTTACCTGGTCAAGCGCTATAATGCACAAGGACAGTGTCAATATGCCCAAGGAACTCTAACGCAGTAGTTCCCAACGGAATGAACAGCATTTCGTGGCTACACCAGCGCTGACGTTCTTTTCGAACACTGCTGATAGTCGTAGTTAATTCTGGTGATAATAGCGACTGTCTGTGCTGTTCCATTTGTCCCTTGTTGTTAACTTAGTTAAGTGGGGTCGCAAAGTCAACAAGTTCAGCCATTAACCTTTCCTCTTTTGAAGGTGGTGACCACCTAGCTCACAACTTATCCATATTCCGTTTCTCCATGTCTTTCCGATTTGATGCAGTAGGGCGGCTACTGTGTCGTGTATGGCTATGAGTTGGTGTTCAGGCTCGCAAGTACTACCCTTGGAATCCTATTCAACCAGCTTCAAAGGTGATCGCCACCAACATGTCCTTCTTTCTGACTAAAATGGAAGGAAGAGCGCAGCTGGAAGATTAAAGTCTAGTCAAAAAGAAGGACATTTTTGAGCTTCCAACTTCTTGATGTATTGTAGGAGGCAATGGAAGGCTCCGTCGTGACAAATATGTTCCTCGTCGCAGGATTTGGATTGATTTTTATCTGAACTTATAAAGCAGGAACAGTTTAACTTGCTTTGAGACGAGAGCTCCTCCTTCAGACTTAATCATTGCGAAATGCTTCGGCTATGTGGCAGATATGGTGGTGTGATGAGCGCACCGCCTGGGGAGACGGGCGTTAGGAACGATTTTGGATAATCGATTCGCCGCACGCGGCTGTCGCGGACCACTCATTCGCCGTTATTACAGCTCCGTTCTTGATACAGCTCAATTGATATGCGATCATTATTTTATGCATAATTCTACTACCAGTACTTTTGTTCTTGTATTTCTAAACTACTGCTGCATCCTGCTACATTCCTTCGCGCGCGACGCCCCTCTCACCGCGACGCGACCNTTTCGTTCATAACGCACCACACCCCACCGCCTGCACTTACAGATCTTCCGCAATGAGCGTTCTAAAGCAATCACCGAAGATTTCAAAACATGGCAATAAGAATGTGCAAAGAACTTTCCGACAACTTGATGCATAATGTTCAATTGTTATAAACATATTGTACATATGATATCACACATACACATCTAGATACACATATCACACACATTTTATACAACATGCTACATACATGTTGTATGTTATACGCATGCTGTTCAAATGCTATGCATATAGAAGAAACGTGTGATTCGCACATCGCGCACATTTTGAACAACCTGCTACATGCATGTTGTATGCGTTTTATTAGGTTTTAGGATAATTCTTGCAACACTTTGAACAAGGTTTCAATTTCCTCGTTCTTCATTAAAGAAAACCTTCAACTCACAATATAATCACCGCTATTATCTAGGACACGTGCCCATCTTTTGGGCAGCTTCTCGATTCCTCTATTCCAAAATTCTGCTGGCTGCGGCAAAAAAAGTGGTCGATCTCGTTTTCTAGTTCACGAAATTTTCTGTCGCATAGATGGTGCTTCAGTGCTCTGAATAGGTAATAATCAGAAGGCGCTAGATTCGGTGACCAGGATGCGGCAGTACTTCCCATCTGAGTTCCTCAATTTTTTGAAATTTGGCTTGAATTTTTCTTGGCCATACACGGGCGGTCATTATGGAAGTAGAAGAACGTTGAGACTTCCGGACGTAGCTCTCGCATCACGTCGGCCGCTTTTTGCAGCTGGTTAGCGTAGACTGGTCGTCACCGTAGTGCCACTGTTTAGCAGCTCTCAGTAGGACATTCTACTGCAGTCGCACCAGCAGCACAATGAAACCCTCTTCTCATGGAGGTCTGCTCTAGGCTCCGTAAGTAACTTTTCTCCCCGTCCAACCCAGTGGCGCTTACATGTATGATCCGCGTAAAGCACGCAGCTCTCATCTCATTATGTCTCGCAATAAGTCCTCTCGAACTGGATAAAGCAGAAGAGACTCAGCTACGTGCATCGTGTTCGCTTTGTCAGACAGGCGTAGTTATGGAGTCTAACTAATGGCCCAAAATCAAGAGAACAGCAACAACAGAAAATGCGAGTACAGCAAATCACTTAGAGAGACTTTGATTTTTTCCTGGAGGAACATGTTCAAAATGTTGCAAAATTTATCTTCCAACCTAATATATATTTACATGCTGTTCAAATGTTATGCACATGCAATAGATACAGTAGCGGTCAAAAGTCTGGCCAAACGCTTTTACGCTTTACCGTTCTCAACTTTCTTCTTAGTGGAGCAAATCGCGCGAAATTTTGGTATGATCAAAGGCACAGTTCGCGATAATGCAATGGGCGGGTGTGTCAATAACGTGTCCGCCTCTCATTCGATGTCACGTCAGACAGTC